ATATATAGTCACTTAACCAATAAACACACAATATTAACTTTAATTGCTATGCTTAGCATCTTAATCCCAAACTCAGGATTCTTAACCTACTCAATTTTAAAAGAATTAACATATTTTTCTTATATTTTTCGTAACACCTTTCTGGTACGCGCTTTTCATAGCCAGTACCAGTTTCTGGCACCAGTTCTTATTATTTTGACTTGAAACTCGTTTTACAAGTCCTACATATTATTCTAGTAATTATCAGGCACTTATTATAATTTTACGGGATACTTTTTTGGTACGCATTTATACCGACTAGCAGAACCGGTATCTGCACTTTTCTTCCGAAAAGCGACTTTCAGCATTCTTAATCACTTACTATAATTATTAGAGCCTCATAATAATTATTAGGGTCGATTATGGAATTATTTTCTAATTTCACATAATTAATTAATTAACTTCCTTAATTAACGGTGCAGGTTCTTACAGAGGAGGTCAAGGATGTTGACTCTTCCAAATGGCTTGAAGCCATAAGGTCTGAAATAGACTCGATGCATCAAAATCAGGTATGGACCTTAGTTTCATATCCAGAAGCAATGGTTCCTATTGGATGCAAGTGAGTCTTTAAGAAAAAGACTGATGCAGATAGTAACATTCAAACCTATAAGTCTAGGTTGGTTGCGAAAGGGTATCATCATAGAAAAAAAGTTAACTATGATAAGACTTTCTCACCTGTTGTCATGATCGAGTCTATTCGGATCATGCTAACTCTAGCAGCATACAATGACTATACAATTTGGCAAATGGATGTCAAGACTACTTTCTTGAATTGGTTCTTGAAGAAAGAGGTATATATGACACAACTTGTAGGTTTTGAGTCCAAAGGTCAGGAGCATATTGGATGCAAACTTCAAAGGTTAGTATATGGATAAAGCAAGCATCACAGAGTTGGAACATTCGTTTTGATGAGGTTGTTAGGAGTAACGGTTTCATCAAGAACGAGGATAAGCCTTGTGTTTACAAAAAAGTTAGTGGGAGCAATGTTGTTTTCTTGGTACTGTATGTGGATGACATACTATTGAGAGGGAGTGACATCCTGATACTTCAATCAGTTAAGGAGTGGCTTTCTGAAAACTTCACCATGAAAGATTTGGGAGAGGCAACCTATATACTGGGTATAAAAATATATAGAGATAAATCTAAGAGGCTACTGGAATTGTCCCAATCTACGTACATTGACGAGATGCTAAGAAGATTTAACATGGAAGGGTCGAAAAAGGATTTTCTTCCTGTCAATCATGGCGTGCATCTTTTTCTAAGGCTATGCATCCTAAGACACATCAAGAGAAAATTACATGAGTGAGATACCGTACGTTTCAGCTATCATAATGTGTTTTTGGTTTGTGGTGGAGTTTATGAGCTAACAGTGAAGGGGTTCACTAATGCCAGCTTCCAAAGTGATAAAGATGACTACAAGTCATAATCAGGGTTCGTATTCACCTTAAATGGTGGAGCAATGGCTTGGAAGAGTTCCAAGCAGGAGACCACAACAGATTCAACGACAGAGGCTGAATATATAGCAGCTTCAGAAGTAGCTAAGGAGATAGTGTGGATTAAGAAGTTCATCTCTGAACTCAGGGTGGTTCCTAGCGTGAATGAGCCCATACAACTGTATTATGACAACAATGGTGCTATTGCACAGGCAAACGAACTCAGGTTTCATCAAAAGCATATGCTTCGCAGATATCACGTGATTAAAAGATAATTGATACGATGAATATAAAGATGGACTATGTTATCACATATTATAACCTGACCGACTCTATGGCGAAAGGATTTACCCAACATATTATAAGATGGACTATGTTGTAACATAACTTTTTTGACTTGCCCAACATTTTAAAGGCGCCACACACCAAAAGCAACAAATTTGATTTCCCCCCCTGGTACATCATAATGACCATGCGGCCCAATAAAGTCATCTGTACGTGTCAAACATATGAAACGTTATGATCATCATTGAACGGTGATGGGGGTGGAACCCACACTTTGACCTATACTGCGAATTGGATAACATCACCTAATAGATGTAAAATCCCACAGACAACCTAGTCAGAGTCCTAGGTGAATTAATTATTGGCATAATTGCAGCTCAAGCTTAAATTTATAATTTTTGGGTAAATATATATATATATATATTTTTTAAAAATCCTATATAAAAATATTTTATATTTTTATTATAATATAACTTAGTTATAATATTTAAAAGATACATTATAACTAAATACAATATAATAACTTAAGTATAAAAGAAAGATTTTAAAATATTTCATTAAATTATTGAGTAAAAATATTTTGAGACAATATGTAAAAGAATAAATAAAGAACTTTTCACAAAGTGAGAAAAAAACGAAAAAAAAGAAAAAAAATCGTTTTAAAAATCATTTTATAATAAGAATTGAGTCATTTGAATTATGAGTTGTTCCAATTATCAAGTTTGATCGGGTTGACATGAAAAATAATTTAGCATCCTAAACGAACCAAAAATAAAGTCAATCTTTTAAATTAGACCGGTCTGGATCACACAACTATTAAGCCTTAATAAATTTAGTTGGCATGAGTAGGGATGTAAATAGATATAGGCTAGGCTTTGGCTTAAATATGTCAGATTTATATAAAAAATATTGAGTTTGGTTTGGCTTGTAAGCCTGTGTAGACTCCAAATTATAAGTCTGGTCTAACTTATATTTAAAAAATAAAAGCTTTGACCTAAGTTTGTTAGTCTGTTTAATCCTATTAAACATTCAACAATTAAAAGAATAACTAAAATAATATTATTTTATTATTCAAAATTATTAAAATATAATTTTATTTATTTTATTTAAAATAAATAATATAATATAGGCCGACCTGTAGCTTATAGGCTCGACATGTATAAAAAAACATATTGCCTGTTTTCTAAATAGATTTTTTTAAAAGCTTAGACATGTTCTATTTTACTATTTGAAATAGACAAAGTCGGGCTTAATATAAGCTAGGCCATAGGTTCCTGTAGGTCAGTCTAACTTATTTACATCCCTAGCTAGGCATGAGGTGTTCGAGATAGACAATGGTACATGTGGAAATTTAATTTTATTCTCACAAGCTTATTAAAAACTCGCATGCAAATAATTGGATTACTGCTTCGATTTATGAAAGACCTTATCATAATAAAATTAGTGTATGTTTTGTTATTTATCATAATATGGCGAAGCAACATAACACTCTTATATTATGTAAGAGGAGGATGTTGTGAAAAAATAGTTGACATAGGCATATGATGTTATAAAAAAAGTTTAAGAAAAAGTACCAGTAATTTTTTTGAAGTATATCTATATATGAAATTTAAAAACTTCTTGTGGAGGGGATGTTTTGTCCGACCCCTATACAGATGTATCTGATTCTATGGCTCACTCACGTACGTTATTAGCTATATGTAAACGGATCAGACGGTTTATGTAGAGTTTACAGTTGAACTTATATTACGTGAGATTTAACCTATGATATCTCGCTAAATAAAACATATCCAAACTTTTAAAAAATCTTTTCATAGATTATAGTCTTTTTTTTACAAGAGAGCTCACTTATAAGTCTATAAGTTGACCTATATTATTTATTTATTTTAAATAAAATTATTATTTTAATAATTTTGAATAATAAAAAATATTATTTTAATTATTTTTTTAATTATTAAATACCTAATAGACCTAAATAGGCTAAAAGGTCTAGCCAAACTTTTTTATTTTTTTAAATATAGACAGATTATAGACTTATAATTTAGACCTATATAAGACTAACAGACTAGACCGGGCCAAAAATATTTTATACACAAGTCGAAGCCTATCTTGGCTTAACACATTTATACACCTATATTAGAGCCGGCAAAACGGGCTCGGCTCGGCAAGCCGACCCGTCCTGCTTTCCAAACGGGGCAGGGGTTGAGTTTTAAAATCCACTCTCAAAAAGGCAGGGCGGGCTAGCTCATTTTTTGGAAGAAAGGGTTGGAAGGGGCGGACCAGTGTAAAACATGTTTGGGCCGACAGGTCAACCTGCCTCGCCCACCAAATGAAATGGGCCAGGCCGAGTTTTTTACCCACTTTCAAAAGCAAAATAAGGCAGGCTATCTTATTTTTTAACAGATTAATGACGAGATAAGATAAAGTGAGCCGCTCACTTTATCACCTCTACCTGTATATTATAATTAAGAATACAACTAACTATTATCTTTAACTTTAATAATTAAATATGATATTTTTTTTATATTTATGGATTTTAATTTTTAAGATATTAAATAGTATATTATGGATAATTGATATTAATTTTTTTTTGAATGATTGTTGTTGAGAGCAATAATGAATCGTATAAGTGATATGACATAACAATTAATGACAGGATACATGTATATATATAAATGTATATATATAAATATAAAATTTTTGTCTTACTCGAATAGTATTTAAGAATCTCTTAACTTTTTTTCAGTGATAGAACAAAGAAGCATTACATTGGTACACGTATATGTTTTCGGAACTGGATAACTTTGCCCCTTATCTGTCTTTTTTATTATTATTTTTTCTCACACACAGACGTGAACTCGTTGAACAACGATGATTGAGCAAAGGATCGCTAATTTGTTTACGTGTTATTTCGTGGATTGGCCGAGCCAAATCCATTTATTCACCCACCACACATTGCATCCTACATGTCATTTTGCTGTAAAAAGCCAATTTTAAACTCGACCAATAGTTCCCATCCCATGTGTGCTACCCCACAGTATTTAAGTACACCCTTCAATCAATATAATAAGAAAACCATCATTAAACTAAGATCGAGCAAATCAAATGGAGGCTTCAGGTTAATAAAGGTGGGGGCACTTGTAGTGAATAGATTGAGGTTTTTTTTTTTAGCTTTATCCATTACTACGAAAGCACTATAAATAAACGTAGTATTGAAGACTATGGAATTGAAAACAAAGTCAAGTAAAAAGAAAGAAAGAAAAACCAAAGAGAGAGAGAGAGAGAGAGAGAGAGAAGCTAGTTTTGATCAATGGCGTCTAGGAAGAGCTTTCTTTCAAAGCAAAATTACATCTTTCCAGCAACCTCAGAGACCCATTTCAATCCAAAATCAACCCAAGAGGGTAGCGGTGTGTTGGAGTTTGATGAAGCAGAGTTGTGGAACTCATCCACCAACAACACCAACCAGCTGTTCCACCCTTCAATGGAGGCAAAGAAGGCCTTACCAGGTTCAAGATCTTCTTTGAAGAGAGCTTCAAGGAAGGTTGACCCAGTAACCCCAGCTTCATTGCCTGTGAATATTCCTGATTGGTCCAAGATCTTGAAGGAGGACTACAAGGAACACAGGAAGTGGGAGAGTGATGATGACGATGTTGGTGATGAAGATGAAGGGGATGATCACCATGGAGGGATTAGGGTACCCCCTCATGAGTATCTTGCTAGAACAAGAGGAGCTTCTCTATCGGTTCATGAAGGGATTGGGAGGACCCTTAAAGGCAGGGACTTGCGCAGTGTGAGGAATGCCATATGGAAGAAAGTGGGTTTTGAAGATTAATTATTAGTGATTAGTGTCAAAGTGTTGATAGGTGACATCTAATTAGATTATTATAGAGATGATATGGATCGGATTCCATAATTTTTTGGTTTTGGGAAAATTTTGGTTAAGGTGATAATTATTAGTTTAATGACTTCTAGCTAGCTAGCTATATATATGTTTCGAAAAGATCCATATCATCTGTTCTTGGTGGACCTTTCCTTTTTCCTAGATGACTCTATATAGTTTATGGGAATTTTTTTCTTTTTACGTTAGCTCGTACTGTTAAGTTAATTAAGGAGATGATCCTCATTTTGGGTGTCTACAGTTTTAAAAGAAGGACCACTCATGCTTGTAATGAAACTCTCTTAACTTTATATATGATACCTATTTATGGATTATCTTTGCGGTTTCATGTACTTTCATGGCCTTGTTTGTTTGGTTTGGTTTTCATCTTTATTCATTAGTCCTTTGTGTTTAAAAGATGAGAAAGCAAAATGGTGTTAAAGCGAGAAGAGGACCAGGCATGCAATGGATTTATGTAGTTTTAATGGTTTGGTTGAATTGAATGAGAAGAAAACAAAGTTAGAAGAGGAAGTGAGGAATGGGAAACGTCGGTGGGTGAAATCCATGGGTAAGAGGTTAGTGTTTAACGTACCGGTTGGTAAGAAAGGTACTGCTTGTCTATTAGATGACTTTGAGTAACATTCATGTATAGATTAATAGGACTCTAACCATTCCTACCCAACTTTTCCCCATGCTCATAAAGAACACAACTTTTTCCTTTGGTAAAGTAGCATCATCACTCGTCTAAGAACCGGTGTCAATTTTTTTATTTTTTATTTTTACTGAAGTACTTGATATTTAAAAAAAAAATTGAGAACCGGGACAAAACTCATTTTCTTTACTTGCGAAGTAAATAAATAAAATACGTCAAATTGAAAGAGAATAATGTTATTTTAGTTGGTAATAGATCAATTCTCAATTTAGTACCAAGCACTTTTTCGAAGCCATTACGACCGGACTAGTAATGAAAGGCTTGAATAGTTTGTATAATGTCATAATTTCAAATTTTATTTTCATCATATAACTTATGATGCACAAATATAATAATATATCTTTTAGATATTTTAATGTTGTATCAAAATATATAATAGAATGATTAATTATATGTTTCGGCTTCCTTATTGTGCCACCATTAAATAATAAATACTAACAAAAAAAATGAGGATTTAAAATTTTTAGGTGGAAGGAATTGACAAAATAAAAAAAACTTGATGATAACAACTAAAAATATTAGAAGATTAACTTTGAACAAAATATTTAGGAGAATAAAATCACGCATCTATCATAATAAAAGGACCAACCGTGCAATTATTACATTTATTAGTCTATTATAGGTTTAACTTTAATGCATTAATAGTGTATAATGTTGAAGAATTCAAATGTGAGTGAGTGAAGTTTCATATTGATTAAGAATGGAATAAGTAAGCATCATAAATAGAAGGACACATTACCTAATAACTTAAGATTTTGAATTTGATTATAGTGTCTAAATTCATTTAATATCATTGCTCATTTAACAAATTATTTACAGTCTTTTTCCGCCATTAACTTCCTCTACTAGCCGAACTATAACTTTTTCGTATCTTCAATTAATTATTCATTTTAAAATTATTATAATTATCAGGCCTACTACTAAAAAAAATTAATTATCTTAATAATGAGCCACAAATCATTAAAGTGTTTGCTTTTTATGCTGTTACTGCAGATAAGTTGTCATTTTGGACGAAAATCATGGTATTTTTATAATTTTAATTTATTTCTGGATTATAATAGTATTTATATTTATAGTTTTTTAAGATTTCAATACTGACGTCGTTTTGAAAATAAATGCAGATAACTTATCTGTATTAACTGCATAAATTTTTTTCCATCATTAAATAATAATGTAAAAAACTTAACATTGACAATATTATATTTAAAAGTAATATTATTTCGTAATTTTTTTAAAAAAAAAATTGCATGAAAAGACTCATTCACCGAGCAAAATCAATAGTATCATATAAAGGGGGAATAATATATTTACCATCATAAAAGTTTATCATCTTTACAACAATTTAATTACTGTTAATTTTCATCAATTTAACGGTTATAATTTATTGAGAATTATTGGATTGCTCTAATTAATTAATTATTGAAAATAATTTTCAATAAATTATAACCGTTAGATTGACGAAAATCAACGGTGATTAGATGATTATAAGAATGATAAATTTTTGTGGTTACAAGTATGTCCCGCCCTTCAATGGTTAAAAAAAATTAGTAACGTTGTTGTTGAAGGCCAAAAGTAGAATAAGAAAAAAAATAGATATCCTGTAACCCCTACCATTCAACACCTTTATCGTGGCTTTTGGCGTGAATATTATGTACCTTGTGCTTTGCTCTTTGTTGAAATTGTTGACTGGTTATTGTTCAAATAGTTGACTGGTATTTGGAGTTTATTCCTAGAATCTACCGTAGAATGGCAACAGCTGTGTGGTGGTCGAAAACAATGACCATGATGGTGGTAATGAATAATGATCTATAGATTTCGACGAGGTTGCCCAATGGCTATAGTCACGGGCACCATAATACTCTAAGAAGCCTGAAGCTGAAAATAAATTGAACCTTTTTTTATTATGCAAAATATTATACATACAATTTATGTTTGTTTATAATCTTTTATAATTATATCTTAATCGTTAATTTCTGTGAATCAACGGTCATTATTTATTGAAAATTAATAATTAATTAATTTAATTTATAAAAATAATAATCGATTGATGAAAATCAACAGTTAAAATATAATTATAAAAAATTATAAATAAAAATAGATTGTAAATATAATATTCTTCTTTTATTATTATTAAACTTGAAAGGGATTTGATTTTCTCATGTAGCATGAAAATTTAATTCTCATATTGTGACTCAACTAGTGGTGGATCTCATATTTATTAAAAAAAAAGAAAAAAAAACTTTAAATGCAAATCGAAGAGTCACAACATAAAATTTGAATTATCATGCAACCTAATTTTGTCTGATTTTTCCATGGGTAATACGTTTTTTCTGCGGCAGGAGAACAAGAATTTCTGCTGCACACCAATCAAAAGTCGTGCAAGCTATTTTTTATTTGTTCTCCTAATGGTCCCCTGCTTTGTTGTTTCTACACGTTATTATAAGTTTTTCCGAGAAACATATAACCCTTTTTTTTTTTTTGAGAAAATAAAAAATATTAAAAAAAAGAAAGGCGCAAAATTGGCCAATTGTCATTGAAGTATCTCTATGTCCCATGTCAAATAAGATATGATCTTTCATCCTCTTGTTCTCCCCAATATATGTTCAAAATATCAAGAAAGCATAAAAATTTGTGCTTAATATTATATACAGAGCATGTTTTGTAATATTAAAATATTTTAGGGAGAATTATGGTGGTTCATTGCAAATTTTTTTATTTCGCTTTTTTTAATCTTTGGTTAGAAACTTTTTTTTTCAATGTATGTTCTCTTGGTTAGTAATTATTATGTTGTTCCCTTTTTTTATTATTCTAGTGTACATGTTAATAAATTAGGAATTAATTATTTTCTTTATTCTTTTGATAAAAAAGGATTAGCTCAAATATGATGGCTTGTTGAACCTAGGGGTGTTGCAGTATGGATTAAATTCAGTTTTGAAGTAAAAATTATTCGATCCAATCTTTTTGGTTTAATCATTTACTCATTCATTCGGTTTGAATTTTTTTTAAATCCGATCCAATTTTATTCGATTTGAATTGGATCAATTTTTAATTTTTCAAAAAGCCTAAAATTTTAATTTTACAAGTAACAAGCTATATCAAAATAAAGTCATTAAAAGTTACAAACCACTGAGAAATTCAAGTCTTCAAACTAAAATAAGTCTTAAAACTCATGAAGAATTAAAATAGATTAATAGACAATAAAAACTAAAACAAGATAGTTTGCTATCAATAACATCCAAGATTCCAAGTCTACAAAATAACACGATTCCAAGTCACAATCTTTCAAAAATAATAAATATACAATACATTGGATCGATTTGGATTGATCGATTTTCACCAACCAAATCAAAAACCGATCCAATCCAATTAAAATATGCGATTTTTTTTCGGTTTTTAATTTTTCGATTTTAGGTTATCGATTTTTCGGTTCGACTGAATCAGTTGATGAACACCCCTAGTTGAACCAACTAATTTTACTTAGGTTTTTTTTTAGTAAACAAAAGGCCTAAGTCACAAAACAAAGAAAGAACACAAAAAGAAACCTAACTATTACAACTCAAAGCACGAGGTCACCCAACAGTTGATAGATCAGCAAGCAACAATAACTGGATGCTAGGAGGATGTTACTGCCGAACAAAATAGTCTTTCTACCCCTCATAGTCTAATATGAAATTCGCCAACTAGTCTGCACATGAGTTACCCTGCTTCAAAGTGTGCCTGAAAGTCACAGATGAATTTTTATCGATCCATGTCCGTATGCGAGAATTCAAATGATTCTCACGGACTACTGCACTATTTCTAGTGAGCACAATGATCACACTTGTTTTAATTGTGACAATTTAGTGATTCAAAATTATTAAATAAAATTGTTTATTTTGGCATTGCGATTTTTGTACTAATAAAAATAAAAAAAACTTAATTTAATTTAAATAAAGAAGATTAGTTAAGTTATGATAGCTTGTTAAACCAATGACTTTTACTTATGGACATATTTAAGTTGTGACAGCTTAATGATGCGAATTTGTTAAAATTAAAAAAAAAATCTTATACTACTATAAAAAAATAAAAATATATATATATATTATCATGAATTTTATACTAATTTGAAATAAAAGCATAAAAAAATAATTTATTTATAATTAAAAAGGATTAGTTGAGCTATGCTACGATAACTTGTTAGTCGTATTTCTATCGAATGTCAACTGAGCTCAGCAAGTTCGTATAAACTTTTGTCTTAGTGTTAAGTCTCACTTAGACTTAAGAAAAATGTAGCGTAGCATAAGTTCAACCCGTTAACCTCAGTCTTTCAATTTGGTTTTTAATATTCCTCATTTATGAAGAAAAATTAGAGAGTTCTCTTGCCATGTATGGAATCCACTATCCTTGTTAGCGGCATGAGTTGTGTGACCATTCGCCCCCTCTCAGGAGTCTCAGCCAATTTTCTAGCCTCGTTATTGCTTGAGCTTTAATGACTTATTGAACCAAACTTCTCATGATTATCTTGCACTAATTTTAAAATTATCAAAAATCAACTTGCCTTAGTGCCTGTTTGGGAAGTTTTATTTTTATCTTTTCTTCTTCTTTTAAAAAGAAGCTTAACCAAACATGTTTTTTTTTTTTTTTTTT